GGGCCCGGGGGGGGGAGGGCCCCGCGTCCCGCAAAAAAAAAAAAAGCAAAAAAAAAGGACCTAGAAAAAACAAAAGAACTTCAAAAAGAAGAAAAAAGTTGGAGGACCAATATCTGTGACTTCTAGACTCCTTACAAAGCTACAGGCAATCAAGACAGCATGGCGTCGACATAAAGGCAGACAAATAGGTCAGTAGAACAGAATATAGAATTCAGAAAGAGAGCCACACACTTATGGACAACTGATTTTCAGTAATGTGCCAAGTTAATCCAGTGGAGAAAAGATGATATTTTCAACACTGGTTGGATAGACAAAGGCTGGATTTCAGGAAGCAGACTGTCCTCCATAGTGTGGAGGGCCTCGTCTCATCAGTTGAAGGCCTGGCTAGAACAAAAGACCATCTCCCCAAGCAGGAGGGCGTTCTCTAGCCGGCGGTCTTCGACTTCATCTGCGCCCTGGGCTCTCCTGGGTCTCCAGCCCACCAGCCCGCACTGCAGATTTTGGACTCACCAGCCTCTGTAATCACACGAGCCAATTCTTTTTTTTTTTTTTTTTTTTGCGGTACGTGGGCCTCTCACTGTTGTGGTCTCTCCCGTTGTGGAGCACAGGCTCCGGATGCGCAGGCTCAGCGGCCATGGCTCACGGGCCCAGCCGCTCTGCGGCATGTGGGATCTTCCCGGACCGGGGCACAAACCCACGTCCCCTGCATCAGCAGGCGGACCCTCAACCACTGCGCCAACAGGGAAGCCCCACACAAGCCAATTCTTGGTAATGAATCTCTCCATATACACACACATGCATGTATGTACATTTGTTGCTCTGTCTCTGAGCACCCTGCTATGACTCCCAAGGAAGGCAGGACTTGAGAGTCCACGATACCAGGGCAAAGGGAACCACAGGGTCATGGCATTCAGCCCGGGGCTTTCCCTCCCGGGATTTCTGACACCTCAACTGTGCCCATGTGGAGTGAGAAACCAGGCAGGAAACAGCGGCGCTAAGCCAAAATTCAGGTAGGGACTCCAGCAACCTTGTGGCATCGGGAGCGGGTGGTGACAGCAGTGCAAGGCCTGCCAAGGTGAGGGGCCCCGGGCTGTCAGCTGAGACCCAGAACGAGGGCAAACAAGAGACTGGCCTTCACTGAATCACCGTGACCCGCTGTGCTTTTCCTGCTGCCAGAAGAAAACGTTTTTGGCTCTGAGGGAGGTTACATCATTCAGACTCTTTACGGATGCTCGTGCAACCGAAGCTTCTCGAGGTGCTGGGCCCTCAATGTGTGTGACCTTGAGTGAGCTACTCCATTCCTCCAGCCTTAGCTCCTCAGTTTGAACGGGGGACGGGAGTGGCAATGCTGGTGTGAGGCGTCCTGGCCCTTACAGCTCACAGGTAAACCGTCACTTTCCTCTCCCCTCCCTCCAGCCACAAACTATAGCATGAAGGCCAACTGTGAGAATGCCACCCCCCCGCCACCAGCTGGATGTGTCAAGGGTCCTGCCCAGGGCAAGCAGGGGTTTGACAGGAACAGCACACACCCCTGGTGGTGCTGCAGCGTCTGGTCACAAAGGCACAAAGCCCTGAGGGAGAGGACGCAGCTGCTCCATGTCGGTGGTCCCTGGTGCCCCAAATCCCCTGTGAGCTAACAATCCATGCTTCACCTAGAGCAATGGGGCGCTGTCTTATCAGGAGATGCAGCCAGGCCATCTGTCTTCTTAAAAATTACTGTTCTACCACCAAGCTATAAAAATTGCTATTTTAGCATCTCAGGAAATGCTTCTCCCACGCAAAGCACTGAGAACTTGCTGTGCCCTTCACGGGGTGATCCACTTCAGAGTGACCACAGAAACGCCTGTTTCTGATTCAGCAACACTTTCATCCAAAACCACGCCATTGGTCACACTGCAGCTGCGGGTGTATGTACAGAGCTGGGTGTGTGTAATTATATGCACTGCAATCATCACTGCCTTGGACCCAGCAATTATGTTCTCCCAAAAAAGCAGACACATGACACACGCCCACTGGTTTATCATCACACCATTGGAAAGATGGGACCCAACTCAGAGAGGCTGAGAATCGAGTTCAGCCTTATCCCTCTGCAGGCTGGAGCTCTGGTCCCCCAGGCGGACCCAGCTGGGCCCACGCTCGGCCCGAGCTAGCACATGATGTTACTTTTGTGTCTTTATGGGTTGATCAGACACCTTTGAGAACGAGGACCTCTTCTCAGTCCCCTGGTTTCCACCCTCCTTGCCCATTGCAAGTTAGTGTTCTAGAAATATGTACACGTATTGACTAGAATTTCTGGAAGCCCAGGGATCTTGAGACAGCATTCAAACACTCAGCTAAAGCTCTTTCTAAAGCCCTACCCTCTCCACGCAAAAGGCCGAGGGACGGAGACCTGAGCCCGGGGCCAATTCTCTCCTGAACTGAGACGACGTCTGCGTGGGGATATAGGGCAGAGTCTGCAGACGGTTTACACAGGGGCCAGACAATAAATAGCGAAGGTTTTGCAGGCACGTGGGCTCTGTAGCAACAACTCAGCTCTGCCATCTGAGCGAGAAAGTGGCCACAGAAAGTCTGCAAATGGATGTGGCAGCTGTGCTCTGGACAGAACGCATGTGAACCGCGGGCTCTGAAATGTGAACTTCATGTAATTTTCATGTGTCACAAAGTATTATTCTTTCAATTTTTACCCAACTATTCAAAAATGTAAATCCCATTCTTAGCGTGTGGGCTGCACAGGGACGTGGTCTCAAAGCCACCTCGGGTTCGGCAAGGCAGGGGTGACCCTTTCCTCTATCGACGTTTGAGGGCTCTGAGCCTGCAGGTGGGAGGGGAATCTCAGTCGAGAAATGAGGGGAGAACCTGAGGTCCGCAAACACAAACTGAGCTACACCCTTAGAGAACTGACCCAGACCAGCCCCCATGGGGGAGGTGCTGAGCAGGGCAGATGGGGAAGGAAGCTCCCAGGTCAGGAAGTGGGGCAAGCCAGGCCTAATGTACACAAATCCCCTGCCCTCCACAATCAGGCGCTGTCTTCCTCCCAGAGTGAAGGACAGGGCAGGGGACCCAGCCAGCCAGCAGGGAAACAAACTAATGACTGACATTTGCCAGCACGGCCACTGTTCCTTGGGCTGCCACACAGCTGGATGCTGTACTGGGGCCTCCCAGCCCCAAATCCCCGTGTCCCTGAGCCACGGTCAGCCGGCCCCCTCCCCAGCCCCTCCCAGCAGCCGGCCCTTCCCGGCCAGGCCCCGGCCCATCCGTCCTCCCCCGGGGTTGCGGGGGGGCGTCTCCAGGGAGGGGCCCTGCCCCACACCCTTCTCCCAGCAGAGTCCTCACAGCCAGATAAGCGCTCAGCTCAGCCCAAGGTGGGCGGAAAGGCAGAACTGCGTCCTTAATTGGTATTTTCCAGTTGACAGAACATTCTATGCTTTTTTTCACTTGTATCATTTAATTACCAAATGTTTTCATTTTTGAGAAGACCTAAAATTGCAGCGATCTGGGGGATTTAGTGAAGGAATGCAAGACCAATTTCGCCTAATTACGAAGCGTCTCGGCGGTCACTCTGGCGTGTCCCAGAGCAGGCGCTGCAGACCCCCGGGCCTCCCCGGAGGTGGGGCTGGGCGCTGACACAGATGTTTACCTGAAGTCCTGGGCCAGAGCCTGGTTCACATTCAGAAACCAGACTGTTTACAGTGGCCACATCTGCCTCCCCCTCGGCTTCGCTTTCATTTGGCTGTAACGTTCTGCAGGTCTCTCCGGGGTCCCTGTGGGAGTATCTGTGACACCACGCGAGTCACGCCATCTCCGGACGGCCCCACGGGGGGGACGCGTCGGCTCCCGGCCTGGCACCCCGGGCGGTCAGCGGGGCTCTGGGCCGGCAGTGCCGATGGGGTGGGTCCGGGGACCCCTGGGTGGGAGACGGACGGACGGGCGTTCAGCCTGGGCAACGGCCTTAGGGGGAGGGCAGGGGGCTTCTCCATGCCCCCATCCTCTCAGGCCCAGGGCGCAGGATGTCGGACCCCCTGGGGTGGTCTGGGAGCTGAGGCTGCGGGTGGGCACCGGGCTCTGTCATTGTCCCCGGACTCTGAGGGGCCTCGCTACACGGGGACCCAGCGTCCAGACCCCAGAGCCCAGTGCCCCGGTGGTGGGTCAGTACCAGCACAGGAGGAGGTGGGGGTCACAGACAGGGCTCCTGGAAGGCCAGAGCCACAGCGGGGGTCAGAGGGCGCCTGGCACAGGGGTCTGGCCCTGGCCCCTTCCCCTCCACCTGCCCCCCGACCTGCTCCCCCCTCCACCCACCAGAACACGGGCTGCAGCCCTGCTCTCACCTGCAGCCACGCCCTGGTGTCTGTCTTCTGGCTGTGCCGGACCCGCCCGAGTGGCCCACGCCCACGGGACGCCGCCAGCTCCTCTGCAGACCCCGGCTCCTCCGGGCACCAGCCTCGGTCCCCGGGTTGCAGGACCGCAGTCCCCGCCCTCTCCACACACCCAATCCCCCGGGTGATGGCTCAGGTGAAGGGCATCGCCAACCCGTGCGTCCAGGTCAGAGACCCCGCGGTCGCTGGACCTCGGCCTCACTCAGGCCCCAGACCCCTCCTCGGAGCAGCTGTCAGGCAGCCCGGACCGGCCCGTCTCTGGGTTTTGGCCCCAAGGCCCCCATCTCAATCCCACCGCCCAACCCTCTTGCAGGGCCCCCCCACATCCCCCGGGGCTGCAGCCCGCCCTGGCATCCAGAGGTGCGGCCCCCCCCCTTCCCCCAGGATGGAGCCCTGCGCTGCCGCCACGTGTGTCCGGGCCTCGCTCACGCCAGCTGCGGCCACACGCCCGCATCCCGGACGCCCAGAAAGGATGCTAACATGTGGTCACACATCCTGGCAGGCAGGAGCCTTCTTTATCCTTCTTGTTTTCCTTTGATCCCTCTGTTTTCTCCAGTTGCGGTAAAATGTATACAGCGTAAACTTTGGCGTCTCAGCCGTTTTTAAGTGCACACTCACATGGCTGTGTTACCATCACACCGTCACCTCCAGGACCTCCCGTCTTCCCCCCGACACGCTGCCCCCATAACACTCACTCCCCTCCCCTCCCCCAGCCCCGGCCCCACCATCCTGCTTCCTGTCTCTATGGATGTGATGACTCTGGAGACCTCATGGGAGTGGAATCACACAGGATTTACCCTTTTGTGTCCGGTTTATTTCACTGAGCATAATGTCCCCAAGGTTCATCCATGTTTGTAGCCTGTGTCAGAATGTCCTTCCTTCTTAAATTAAGGCTGAATACTATTCCACTGTATGGATGGACCACATTTCGTGTATCTACTCACCTGTTGATGGAGATTGCGTTGTTTCCACATTTAGCCTATTGTGAATAACGCTGCTGTGGACATGGGTGTGCAAATATCTATTTGAATCTCTGCTTTCAATTCTTTGGGTCTCCACCTAGGCGGCGGTGGTGGGGGGGGTGGTGGCCGGGTCATATGGTAATTCTATGTTCAACTCTCTTTCTCAGAAGGAACACACTCTGCTGGCTAGTGCACTCTTTGGCCTCTTCCTCTGTGCTCCCTTCTGCTTTTTAGAATGCTGATGCAATGGCGGGTGCTCCAGCAGCCATCTTAAAACATGAAGGATGGATTCCTCCAGCTAGGAGTGTGGAGCAGAAAGACGGAAGGCGCTTGAACACCTGAGTATCTGTTGGTGCCTCTTCGTAAAGAGCCTCAATGGAATCTAGACTTTAAAACTGTGATTGTGGGCTTCCCTGGTGGCGCAGTGGTTGAGAGTCCGCCTGCCGATGCAGGGGACGCGGGTTCGTGCCCCAGTCCGGGATGATCCCACATGTTGCGGAGCGCATGGGCCCGTGAGCCACGGCCGCTGAGTCTGCACGTGGAGCCTGTGCTCCGTAACGGGAGAGGCCACAGCAGTGAGAGGCTCGCGTACCGCAAAAAAACAAAAAGCAAAAAACTGTGATTTAGGCTTAAAATCCTATCTTGCTTAGGCCATTGTTACTGTGAGTTCCCTGTAATGCACTGTGTCTTTAAAAATAACACTAGATTTCGGACAAATTGGAATAACTTTTTCATTATAGAAAAGAATGAAACGTAAATCAAAGTTGACCAAATCTCACCACCCAGACGCGTGCAGACTTTGCACTCTTTGGATTCTGCTCCAGTTTTTGCTACATCTGCCCGGACTTTTTCCTTGCAAACGTGTGTGATTATGCAAATAGAGCTGTCTGCCTGTGTACCTCCCAGGACATTCATCTTTTTTACGTCCAGGACTTTAATGGCTTAATATTATTTGAAGTGGGGCTTTCCCTCTTCCATTATAATGTTAGAAATCTTTAGGCAGCGCCACTTTTATGCATCAGGCTGTTAGTTCTCCCGTAGATAAAACTGCAGCAGGGAAACTGCTGTTTCCAAGCACAGGGAGAGTTTGAGGTTGTGGTCCATTCTGCCAGGCTGCTTCCAGAAATGCTTTCCTACCTCCCTCCGCAGGCATGGGGCTCAGCAGTCAGTGGGCCTCAGAGCAAAAGCTAAGGCTGGTAACATCTTCCCAGGCTGCCCTCGCAGACAGAAGGGGCGCCTCTCTTTCCTTTCCCAGTTTTTTCTTTTCTTTTGTTTCTTTCCTTTTTTTTTTTTTCTTAGCAAAATGGTGAACATTTTTCATACCTGTGGCTAACATCGTAGCTTGCCCATTGAATGTGGGTTTTGGGGTATTCTTCAATGTTTGGTTCCTCTAGATATTAATGGTAACAACCTCTGTCATTATATTTAGCGAGTGTTTGACGGCACTCGGAATTTGTTTGGCTATCAGTTTAATTTGGTTATATCTAAAGATACCTGTGTTTGTGGGCTTTTTAGTGACAAAGGGACGTGGCCTGAATAACCAGGACCGGCAGCGCTTCAGTGCACAGGATAAGGTGGGCAAATCCAGTGACTTCTCTCCCTTGAGGTGTGGCTTGGGGGGATGACAAACACTTGCTAGTCGCTGGTGCGATGCACAGCTAAGGTTCTGCATGTCCATGTAGTGGCTCAGTTATGTAATCGCCGTCCCGCACCCCGCGCGTCCTGGCTGACACAGAAACCTCTGCATCTTTACAGAAGGGGAGTCTGTTCACGGAGCCCCTCCTTTGGGCTCACACAGAGGGCGGGTCATGGAACTCCGACAGCAGGGAATGAAGGGCTGTCACCAGTGGCTCCTGGTCAGATCACGGCTACTGGTGCCAAGGCAGAGGGCTTTATCCCAGAGGAAGGTTTTAGGCAGGTTTCCTAACTAACGTGCGGGGTGGAGGCCGCGTGGCCCTGGACTGTGTAGGAGAAGCTGCCACCCTGCCGGGGGCCCGGCTCCTCCCCGCTGCCCTGCAGCCCCGCCCAGCCCTGCCCGGAGCAGGGAGGAGCCTCCCGGCCGCAGCCCAGCGCCCGCTCCCGCCACCTGCAGGGCAGCGGGGCCCAGCGGCCCTGCGGCTCAGCGAAGGACAGCACGGGGGCTCTTGCTCAGCTTGTCTCTGTTCCGGTCCCGCAGCCTTGGTTGGTGCGGGAGAGACGTGAGCAAGGCCCCGAGCATCCAGGGCCCGGCCCGCTGTGCGCCCCGGATCCGCACCCTCACCCCACGCTGACGCCCCCCCATAGCCGGCCGCTCAGGCAACGAAGCGGTGAAGGCGCCCGCAGCGTGACCACCCTGCAGCTGCTCCCAGGGGAGGGGGCTGAGCTTGCACGGGTGTGTGTGTGTGTGTGTGTGTGGCGGGGGCTCCCTGCACGGTTTGCCTCTTGCTACCACGTTTGCTACTTGTGGCAATATTTACTGCTTGCTGCCATGTTTGCTACTGGCTAAGATATTGCTGGCCGTGCAAGTGTCATCTGGGCCTGTGGTCATTATGCCCCTCCATCCCTGCTGGGCACTCTGGGTCGTAGGGAACCAATGCAAGCGTGCTGATGTCCACACTGCGTGCGCCGTGCTGGGAGTCATGTGGCCTCTGTCTGTGACCCAGGGTGGATGGAGCCTGGCTTGGGGCAGTTCCTCTTTGTGGACCGTGGCAGCTGCCTGGGTGATGCCTGCAGCCAGAGGGTGCCCACGGTGAGGGGTGGGTGCAGCTGCTCTGTCTCTGGGGAGACTACGGCCTCCTTGGGGGATACAGGTGAGGGATCTGGGGCTCTTTCAGAGCACCCCGCGGGGCTCAGGGAAGGCAGGAGCCCCCACCTCCCTCTCCAGCGGCTCTGAGCTTGTCCTGGGTGAGTCTTACCGCTGCTCTCAGCACCCGGCAGCTGTTCAGATGTCACAGGCCTGAGGCACCAGCTGCTCATCCTGACTCTCCCTCCCCCATTGTCTGCAGGAACCCTGTCCCTGGCTTCACAGGGGCCAGCACCAGCCTGTCTCTGAAGCCCTTTCCTCCCACACCTCTGCGTCCCCCCAGGGCCTGTCTTCTCCCTGCGCACCTCCGTCCAAGTCCACCTCGGATCACAGCCCTTTTTCAAAATCCTCTCTGGGACGCTCCCCCACTACGTTATGGTGTGCTGGCATTTGGGGGCAGGTCAAGGGCTCTTAGGCTGTACCTGTAACTCTTCCGTTGATTAGACAGAGACTGAATTTAAGGGTTACTTTATGATGAAAATTAGATAAATGATACAAGCAACATAACTGACTTCCCGGCTCCAGACAACGGCCACCTGTTGGCCTGGTCCCGTGGACTTGGTTTGGTTCCACACTTTTGGATCTGGGTGGCCCAGGCTGTAATCTCATCTGAACCTCCAGGTTTTTCCGTGGACATGCGGGTTCCTGACCAGCTGGGGACACAGCCCCTTGAGACCTCAGCAGAATCCTGCAGACCCCAGACCCTGGAGGCCAGCTGGTCACTCCCCCTGTACAGAAGGTGTCCAGGCCAGCAGCCTTGCTTCCACTGGCCAGCCCCCCACCATGTGCACATTCTGCCACCAGGTGGCGCCCTCTCACTTCCAGCCACACCTGAGGAGGCACCTTCCCACTTGATTTTCTCATTAGTGGGGAGGGTCCTTACTGCTACCATTGCAATTTCAGAGCTGAGAGAAGGAGGTTCAGGAAGCAGAAGCAAGTTGGCGGCAGTCACAGCGAGGACCAGAGTCTCTACCCAGGACACAGACAACCCCTGTGTGACGGGGATGGGGCTTGGATGAGGGGACAGGGTCAGGGGCACCCAGAGGCCAGCAAAGGCAGAGCCATGTCCTCGTGGGCCTGCGCCAGGTGGACCCAGTGCCCAGGGGGCCGGCCCGAGCCATGGAGGAACAGGCAGGTGCAGGGGTCTGAGGGTGCAGACCCGCCCGACCGCCGGGGCACAGGGTGAAGAGTCTGTGTGCCTCCTGACCGAGGCGAGGGGCTTGCTCTGGTCACACTCCCACGCCCAGCCTCTCCCAGCTCTGGGACAGGTCAGTGAGGTACACAGGAGGGAAGGGGCCAGAGGAGAGCGTGGGTCGCCTCAGTGCCAGCAGTCTGCTCCCGGGAGGAAGGGTCCGTGGCACCGGCTGCTCTGAGCTCGCAGCCCAGGGGACCAGCCTGGCCGGACGGCCAGTTCCAGACTGTCCCTGCTCAGAGCCCTGGGTCCCTCCCTGACTGCCCGCAGATGCGGAGCTCGCGGCACCAGGGGGCGCCCACGGACTTCGCATCAGCCTCTGCTCGCCCACCTCCTTCTTTCTGCTCCTCAAAGACAGCAGCTCCCCTCAACCCCGAGGCCCAGGGCCACGACCGGGAGGGGGTGGGGGGGGCGGGGGGGCTGCAGATGGGCATGGGGAGGGGGGCCGCGCTGAGAGCTCAGGGCCCAGGAGATGACAGGGAGCAAGAATGACATGGTCTCTGTGCCCTCGGGGGACCTGCGGAGGGCCGGTGGCTTTTCATCCACTCTCACTGAGCAGCCTTAAAGCAGTCACTGCTGACCCCACTTTATAGATGGGTAAACTGAGGGCCAGGGAGGCTGCCTGTCACAGGACTGGCAGGGAGGAGGGGTGGGGCTTGCACCCAGGCAATGGTTCCTGGGGACTGGACTTGGCAGCCATGTGCCTGTCACCCCCCAGGCTTGTCCTGCAGCCCCGCCCATGCTGAGAGGCTCTGCACGCAGGGCTCAGCATTGCCTGTGGGGGCAGAGCTTTCAGGCCGCTTTCACTGGGGGTGGGTGGTAGGAGGTGGATGTAATCTACTTAAGATACGGTTGCACTGGATTAGGATGGTCCCTGATCAGATGACTGGTGTTCTCAGAAGAGAAGTGAAGACTTGCTGTGCAGACACATAGCACAGGGGAGAAAAGCTGTGTGAAGACAGAGATCCCCGGAAGCTGGAGGAGGCAATGGGGAGCCCCCCCAGAGCCTTCAGCGGGGCACAGCCCTGCAACACCTTGGTGTGGACTCTGGCCTCCAGAGCTGGCAGAGAGTAAGCCTCCCAGTTATAGTCATTTGCTCCAGTGGCCCCAGAAAGCTAATAGAGGCAGCAAAGATGGACAGAGCGTCGGGCCAAGGACCCTGCCCATCATGTTCAGCTGACACAGAAATGCGGACTCTGCTGTTTCTCAGGGAGCGTGTGATAGAAAATCATAAGTGCAAAACCATGACACCGTTGAGGTTATTTTGAGATTAAACAAACAAACAAATACAATTACCCCAGAGAAAAGGCACAAACAGGAACCAGGAGGTGACCATGTGCCCAGATCTCACCTGGCCCTGGCAGGTATATAGAGGTTCCCAGTCCTGGAGGCTCCACACCTGAGCACCTGCCCTCTCTCTCCACCTGCTCCTCTGACCTACTCCACCCTCCACCCACCAGAGCATGGGCTGCTGAGGCTCCAGCTGCTGTGTGCCCGTGTGCTGCTGTGTCCCCATTTGCTGCTGCCAGTGCAAGATCTGAGGCTCAGACCTGAGGAGAGTCTGCTCTCCCCAGGACGAGGCCAGAGCCCCATCTCAGCTCTGGGCTGTCTCCCAGACCCAGGAGTACTTAATGTTTCCCGAGTCCCAAGGAATGGAATGACCCTGTCACGTCCTTGGCCTGTCCTGTGACCCCTCTGCCGCCACCACAAGGAGACCCCTTCTCCCCTGACCTGGGTACCCGACAGCTTCGAAGCTCCCAGAGCCCTGAAATCTCCAACAAGCCGGCTGCCCGGTCCAGCCCTAATGGGGCCCTCCCTCTTGCCCCTTTCCCTCCACACTCCCTGTCTGAGCCAGCCTTGCAGCTGAGGTCAGAACTGGAGGGAAAG